GCACACACACAACACACACACCACATACACCACACACACACACACACACACACACACACAACCTCCTCCACTTCAAGGTATAGCCAACAGCTTCTGGAGCCTTCAAAAAGGCCGCCTGTACCTGCTGTCTTTAGCGCTTCCAGTTTGCCCTTGGTCAAGAAATACTGTTTGCTAGGCCCTGCTGGAATACGGAAGACAGTAATGGCTCCTAACTACCTGGAGGTCCTTTTTCCTCTTGTCCTTTTACCCCTTCGTATCTCAATTTCTCTACTTGATATTCCCCTCCTTTTTTTTTTTTTTTGCCTCCAACCCGTTCTGCGCGCTCCCTGCAGAGCAGGCGAGCAGCAATGCTGCTGGACCATGGAGCTGCTCTAGTCTCCCAGAAATCTCTTCTACACCCAACCCTTCTCGCGCGTAGGTGGCCCTCAGTACCTTCTTCCCCACCTCGCCCACTCCCCTTCTGACCCAGGCTGCTTCTTTCCAGTCCTTGGGTCTCAGTTCTTTTGGGCCTCTGCCTGTCTCCTCTCACCCGGATCCAGGGCTGCCTTCTCTTTGTGCAGCCGTCCTTCTCCACCTCCATCCCAGACTCCCTGTCTCAGCGCCAGCTCCTCTGCCTTTAGCTCAGGTTCCTTCACTCCCACCCCAGCTTCCAGTTGTCTTGCCCAGAGGTCCCTCGGCAGTGACCGGTGCCCGCCGGTGAGTGCGTGTGCACCAGTGCACCTCCCTCTCCCCCACCTCTCCGCCCCGCTCCTCTCCGCCGCCCGCCCCACAGCGCTGTGGGCGGTCCAAGGCGGGGCTGGGATCCGGGGCGGCTCCCGGGGCTCGGGTTGTGGGAGGCGTCCTCTCCCCGGTCTTCCCCTCTCATCCCCCCGCCCTGCCTTCCCCTGCACCCTCCTTCCTCCCTCCGCCCGGGAGCTCTCCCCGGTCCCCGGCGCCGCCTCCTTCCCTCCCGGCTCCCCGCTCCCGTGGCCGCCGCCGCCCCGGGGAAGGAGAGACAGGGGTGGGGTTTGGGGGAAGCGAGAGAGGAGGGGAGAGACCCTCGCCGGGCTGGAGCCTGGATTCCAGGGGAGGAGGGACGGGAGGAAGAGGAAGGTGGAGGAGAAAGGAGGGGGGAGCGGGGAGGAGAGGCCGGGCCTGGGGCCTTGAGGCCGGGGGAGAGCTGGGGAGCCGGGCCGGCGCGCCGAGGTAAGAGCCAGGGCCCCGGGTTAGCAGGGCTTGGAGAAGGGTCGCGCGGCGTTGTGGGAGAGGGGGCAGCGGGCGCAGGGCCCAGCTGGGGTAAGCGGTGCTGGGGGAGAGGAGGAACCGTGGGGATGGAATCGGGGAACGCTGAGGCGACCGATCCCGGGAGCGTGGGTAAGCCAGGTTCCTGCGAGCTGCGGGGGCCGGGGGAGAGGAGGTGGTGAGAGGTGGAGTCCCGGGAGGGTTGGGGGCCGAGGGAGGCAGGAGGAGGGTGGGGACAGGCTTTCTCTCCTCCTCTCCCCCCACCCCGCGCGGGGCTCCGCCCCCGCCTCCTCCGCGGGGCGCTCATCTGGTCCCCAGGCTGAGCCCGGTCGGAGCCTGCGAGGCAACGGGCTTCAGGCCGGGTAGTCTCCGGGTACGGGCCGCGCCGGCGGGACTCCGTCCGGTCCTCATGGCCGCCTCTCACTTAGATGCTGCTGCTGCTGCTGCTACTGGCGCCACTCTTCCTCCGCCCCCCCCGGCGCGGGCGGAGCGCAGACCCCCAACGCCACCTCAGAAGGTGCATCCTTCTTCGACGACCTCGGGCCCTCCTTTGCCCCACTTCCCTTTCCCTGCATCTCCTCGATTCTGGTCCTCATCATGATCCCTTCAGTCCCACATAGCTTCCCGGTCTGGCAACCCCTTCTGCTCGGCCCCACTTTACTACTGCTGACCTCCTTCTGTCACCCCACGTTACTACCCAGCACCCCTTTTCTCTGCCCACATTACTACACTCTACCACCTTTCTGTGCATTATTTTCTCAGCCTCAATCCTCTTTCCTGGCCCCACATTACTACCTCAATTCCTCCCTTGTCTTCTTCTCATTTTATTGTCCAGATGGTCTTACAAGGCCCCCTTATCCTCTCATTCTAATTCAACTCAAATATCCTCATTTAGCTTTTTTGTTTTTTTAAGAAATCTCCACCCACATAAACCCTTCATAATTTCTTAATTACTTTTCTTCCTTACCTCCACCTAGCACCCTTCCCTCCCCACTTGTGGGTTCTCTCATCAGCTTTAACCCTGGACCTTTACTCTCTGTCCTTTAGCCCCGGGCTCTGTACCTGTCCCCACTCCTACCCTCTGGTGCCCCATCCCTCTTCCTCTGTCCCCAGCCTGCCCGCAGACCACGCCCTACTCTCCCCTGCCTCCCACTGGGGAGCCTGCCTTTTCTTCTTTCCCACCATTGCTCTCTGTATGCCTCCGCCACTCACCCCTTAGGTTGCCAGATCATACACCCGCCCTGGGAAGGGGGCATCAGGTACCGGGGCCTGACTCGGGACCAGGTGAAGGCTATCAACTTCCTGCCGGTGGACTATGAGATTGAGTATGTGTGCCGGGGGGAGCGCGAGGTGGTGGGGCCCAAGGTCCGCAAGTGCCTGGCCAACGGCTCCTGGACAGATATGGACACACCCAGCCGCTGTGGTGAGTAGCCTCAGAAGCCCCTTCCCTCTTCAAGACCATTCCTTTTCCTGCCTCAAAGTTAGCATTACTGTTTGGAAGTCAGCACTTTAAATCCAGTATACCAAAATTCACAAATACATTTATTGAATGACTACTACATCAGAGCAATTTTGTTGTGTGCTGTTGGAGGTGGTATAGCTGGCAGCTTGCCCAGTTCATTTCATCCTCCCTTCATTAGGCCACTGATCATTGGCCTATAACATTGATAATTCATCTTGTGAGTTATTCTCGGTGAGGATCATTAGCGGCAGATGATGACAAAAAATTCTAAAATGATTTCATCACATTTTTGAATACCTCTGTCACCAACCCAGCGACCATATGCCCAAGAAACAAAAACCAGTTTAATATTAATAGAAGCCAACTATAATAAGAAAAGCAAATCTGATTGTGCATCCAAAGTTATCTACATCTACATATTTCAAAGCCAGAGAACCGCCCACTGTAGCTGACTTTGAAGAGATCCCATTTTGTGTGCTTATAGCCCCATCTTGGGATCCTACAATGGTAATTATTCTTCCTTTCGGGAATGTGTGGATGCTTGCAGAGGTAAGGGAGGATTGGAAGATAGGTAGGCAAATCCTTTCCACGTGTGATTTTCTTTAGCACAGGATGCTTGTGGACCCAAACCCACACCTCAGTCCCCTGCTCTTTAAAGGGAAAGAGCCTTCTCCAACTTGCCTCTCTTCTTATTTTCCTGTCTCTCCACAGTCCGAATCTGCTCCAAGTCTTATTTGACCCTGGAAAATGGGAAGGTTTTCCTGACGGGTGGGGATCTCCCAGCTCTGGACGGAGCCCGGGTGGATTTCCGGTGTGACCCCGACTTCCATCTGGTGGGCAGCTCCCGGAGCATCTGTAGTCAGGGCCAGTGGAGCACCCCCAAGCCCCACTGCCAGGGTGAGGGGAACAGCTGCCTGCATGCAGCTGATGAGGACGCTTGTGTGAGGATGGGAGTGGGGTGGGAATGGATGATGGGAAAGAATGGGGAGCTATAAAAATGTGGGGGAGGGCATTGGAAAGGGGGAGATGAAAGTCCCTTTTTCCTCCGTAACCTGCCTGAAACTTCCTCTTACAGTCCCTAGTATCCTCTGTATGTTGGGGGCTTCCTTCCTTTACCTTTAAAAAAGTACTCTGCTCCCAATTCTTAGGCCTCACGTTTTCTCTTTCCTTTATGAATCTCACCTCTCTCACCTTCTTAAGGTTTAAATATTCCATTTTTTCCCTTCTCTAAACTTAGAACTTTCCATGCATCACCTTCTTCTAGAGGGTGATCTCTCCTTAGAATTGCTCCCTCACCATTCATTAAATAATTGATTTATTGTGAAGACTCAGAAATAAATCAAACAGTATACTTAGAAAAATTGAGAAGGGGAGCTCTGGGAGTGGAAACGTATTAGGGTAAAAGACTTAAAGTTGGAGGCAGCATTATCAGAAGATAAAGAACTCAGGGACTGGATGGGAAGAAGACAGTCCTTTTCTATACTTCCCAGACAACCTCCATTATTCCCTAAGGGAATCAGTGTTGTGTTTGTCTACCTCTTTTTTTTTTTTTTTTTTTTTTTGCCATATATTTCTACAAACTCTCCCTTTTCTAGGCACCCGAACTCTGCTGTCTTCTCTCCTGGGATGCAGTCATCCCATTCCTATGCCTCATACTTTCTCTACCCTGGTAGATTCTTTCAAGACCTTTGGACCTTACTTTCCTCACATAAGTCAGTTATTCTGCTTCTAGTTTACCATTTCATTCTGGAAATTGAGAGTCCCATCCAGGGGTGGACTTATGACACTACTGAAACTTAGGCTTCAAGGATCCTCACCTACAGGGCCCTCTTCCTGTGCTCTTATAGAGGGCTCGATGGATATGTGTTCATATGGTAATAGGCTTTTGTAAAAATTGCAGAAATAAGATTTTAATAGCAATTGCTTAAAGCCAATTGTATGTGTATTCTTTTCTTAAAGACTCCCAATTTTGTAATATTCAGGCGCCACAGAAGCAAGATCTGCCCTAAACTTAGCTGCTGGCATTCCTGTCTCAAATTCTGTTGTCCTATGAAAAATCAAAGAAGAAAATCAATAAGTCCTGACCCCTAGTCCCACCTTGCTCTTATTCCCCAGGCACCCTCCCCTCAGAAACGCAGGCTTCTGCTCTTCTGGTCTTCAGCATGGACAGGTGTGGGAGGGGGCTGGGGATCAGGCCAGGGAAGCTGGGCGCCAGTGGTAACTCTTCTCTGATCCCCGTCTTTCCTGCTGCCAGTGAATCGAACGCCACACTCAGGTGAGATGAGCAACCCTTACCGCGTGCACTGCAATGCCCTTCCCTTCACTCTGCACCCTCCACCCCCTGAAATTCTGCCCTTAGGCTACGGGGGGGGTCGTCCTTTTCTCACCTTCCCCAACCCACCCGAGTTTGCGGCCACCCCCTTCTCTCCCTACCTGTTTCCTGCCTCCAGTCCCGGTTTTCTGCGGGGCTGCGGTCCCTCCCGTCCCTGCTTGGCTGCACTTCCCTGGGCGCCACCTCCTCCCAGACTCTGCCTCGTCGGCGTCTGGCAGAGCCCAGCAGAGGGCGGCAGGGTGCCGGGAGACCCTGAGCTTCACCGCGTTTTCCCCTGTGGGGTTCCTTGCGACCTTCCCTGGAACCTTTTCCAGCCTGCTGCCTCCTGGGATTTCGCCTAATGGACTTCCTCAGCCCGTCCCGCCCATCCCAACCCTCGCCAGACCTCTCGCGCTCTTCCTCACGTCCTCTCCGTCCGTGTACCCCTTCCCTTGTCTTTTCTCAATTCCATGCCCCGTCTCCCTTTCTCAGGCTTCGGTCTCCCCAGCCCCAGGCTCCCTTCCACGACCCACCGCTCCCTCTCCACCAGTCTCCCTTCCATACCCAACTCGTTCCCTCCAAAACCGTTTCCTCAACCCCCACACCCTCAGTGCCTCACGGCATCGACTCCTACCCTCACCTCAGACCTCAGGCGCCAGCCCCGGTTCTCTCCCGTCCCACTCGCATCCTTCCCTTCCTACCCCCGGCTCCTCCGGGCTTCAGCCTCCCGCGGCTCCCTCCGCCCACCCCGCCCTCCCGGCACGCCCCGTCCCCTTTTCTCCTCCCCTCCGGTCCCCTTAAGTGAGACCCCTCCCTTCCTCGTTCCTTCCTTTCCTCCTGGAGGTTGCCTTCTCCCTCCCCTCCCCGCCCCTTCCTCCGACTGTCGCTCCCACCTCGGCGCTCGCTTCCCTCCCCGCCCCCTTCCTGCCTCCCCAGCTCCCGCCCGCACCCCCACCCCCCGCTGCCGCGCGCCGCCCGTGACGTCAGAGCCCCCTCCCAGCCCCACATCTCCCTCCTCTTCCTCCTCCCCTCCGTCGGTCAGTCAGTCCGCGAGGAGAGTGCGCGGTGGCGGCGGCGGTGGCGGGAGCGAGAGCCGCGGGGGCCGTAGGAAGCCAACCTTCCCTGCTTCTCCGGGGCCCTCGCCCCCTCCTCCCCACAAAACCAGGGATGGAGGCGCCTTCCCGGCACCCCCTCAGCAGCCCTCCCCGGGAAAAGTGTCCCCCCTGAGCTCTTTCCGCTCCCCAACAGCTACCCCTGCCCCCCACGCCATGGGGCCGGGGGCCCCTTTTGCCCGGGTGGGGTGGCCACTGCCTCTTCTGGTTATGATGGCGGCGGGGGTGGCTCCGGTGTGGGCCTCCCACTCCCCCCATCTCTCTCGGCCTCACCCGCGGGTCCCCCCGCACCCCTCCTCAGAACGGCGCGCAGTGTACATCGGGGCGCTGTTTCCCATGAGCGGGGGCTGGCCAGGGGGCCAGGCCTGCCAGCCCGCGGTGGAGATGGCGCTGGAGGACGTGAATAGCCGCAGGGACATCCTGCCGGACTATGAGCTCAAGCTCATTCACCACGACAGCAAGGTAGCCCTGGACATGGGGTGGGTGGGAGGTGGGGGCCTGCGGGGCAGGGGGCCAGCCCGCTGCGCGCGCCTCCATCTGTCTGAGTCGCCTCTGGGATTGCGAGGCAGAACCCTCCCTTGTGTGACTGGCAGGAGATGGGCTGGGGGCGCTGGAGCTTGGGGAGAGTCGCAGGGGCCGGAGGTCCAAGATGAGGGTCTAGGGGTTCAAGACGGTTAAGCATGCTGCAAGGCAGACCCTTCTGCCCCGCTGCGGGAGTTTCGCGGAAGTGTCGGGGCTGGGGAAACGGGTGGTGGATTTAAGATATTAGCAGACCCTCATCCTCTGAGGGAGTAAACTAACCCTGGAATGAGTTGGGGGTGGAGGGAACGTCAGAGGTGGGGAGCTGGATTGGGGGTTTACATTTACCATGGTAACAAGGTAAAATCTTGGCGTAGGTTGGAGCTGGAAGAAATAGGGACAGAATGAGGAAAATTTTGAGAGACTTGAAAGCTCTAGTTTATTTATCATAACAAACAGCAAGGTAGCTGTGAGCCCTACCTGACTCCTCATCCCTCTCTTCCCAACCCTGTTGAGCATTCCCGGACTGTGGGATAGATGGCATATGGTGATTGGGGAAGGTTAATGATCAAGAGTTGGGCAGAGGTGCTGGGGAAATGAATTGGATTGGGGGTCCACATGGGAGCCCCCAGCATAGCATGGGGTTGGAGAAGATTCAGGATCAGGCAGAAGAAAGAGAACAGAAAAGAATGGCAGTGGGGGAGAGGAAGCAGGAGGAAGAGTGGGGATAGTGGGAGATCCTGGGGCATCCTTTGGAACTTGGGTCCTGAACTTATCTTCCCTTATAGCATTGTGGCCTCTAGGATGTGAGAAGGGAAATGGGATGTAGAGATTAGGGAGGTGAGTTGAGGGAGAGAGAGAAGGTAAGAAAATTTGGGTCCAGGAGTATTAGGGGATAGCTTATAATGAGGTTCCTTTCCCACCTGCTCTCCTACATGAATAATTGGGGTATGAGGAAGGATGTGGCACAGGGAAGGAGATTTAAGACCTCAAATTTATCTTCACTGACATGTGGCCCCAGAGACTTAAGGAATTGGGTTAGGGTGAAATAAAGTATAGAAGGTGAGAATTTGGTGATCTTACCAAAGATCAACCTTGGGGTGGCCCAAGGATTCATATTCATTCTTTAGAACATCACTATACACATAGAAATAGGTGTGTGTGTGTGTGATAGGTGTGTGAGGGGGCGGAAGCGAGGTTGAAGTTAGGGTGCTTGAGGAGAAGAGAGCACTAGGATTGTCAGGAGCTTGGAGAGAGAACTTCAAATCTTTGTTACTTTCTCGGCGTTTGTTAAAAATACAGATTCCTTGGTCAGGGATGAATCCCAAGTATTTATCTGTATTATCAATAGACATCCTGTCTTGGATGCCTAAGCTGTAAGCTAACCCCAGAATGCCCATGGGAAGAGCAGCAGGGTACAGGAAAATAATCAGGTATTAGGGTATGGGAGACAGGAAGAGAAATAGAGGATCAGATCTGGTGGAGGGATCAGACTCGGGCCAGTAAGAGAGATCACTGGCTACGGGGAGTAGAGTTTGAAGAAAATGACAGAACGAGATGGGTGCAGTCTTTATGATACGGATCACAGGAGATAGGGGAGGCCTGGCTGTGATCTCAGACTCATGCACCATGATAGGTGATTCTCTGGAGGTGGTGAGGAGCAAACTTGGGACCTGGGAGAAGGGAGCTGGAGGAGAACATAGCCGAGGCTGCAAGTGGGGTAGGATGGGAAGGCAGAGGAACCGGAACGTGTCAACGGGAATGAGTCGGTTTCCTGCCTGCAAATCCAGATCCTTGCAAGAGCAAACAGAGGGAGGAGAACTAAGGAAGTCTATTGGGGAGGGGGAGAGAATCACGTGGTGGAGAGAATCTGCAGTGATGAATAGGGTGTGGAAGAGGGAAAGGGTTGCAAGAAAAGGTAGATAAGAAGTGAGGAAACAAAATGGGGGGCATGCATTGCCCTGTTGATATGTATCTTACATGTTCTTGTATGTCCTCATTGTTTCCATTAACCTTGCCTTTAGAGGAGAAGTGGAGGGGCACCGAGGGGCTATGGGAGAAGCTGGAAGCAGGATCTGGAGTAATAGATGTGGGGAGAGTGCAGGAAGGTGGGTCCTGAGAATAGTAAAGATTTACAAAGATGCCTTAATGGGAGGCATACAGAGAAAACATTCCAATGTTGTTGGGCACTGCCCTTGGCCAGGCAGAGGGTAGGGTGGGCAGCAGAGAGTTCCCAGTGAGTGCGGTTCTTCAGATTCCAACAGCGTCCCCTGGTTCCCCCTTCTCCAACTTCCCACCGTGTCCCAAATGTCAGGCCTCAGTGGGAGGTAAGCAGGCTCCAGAGTGCTTTCTTTATTTCCTTCCTACTTGTCCTCCCCTCCCTGCAACATTTCACCCTCCTCAGTCCCCTGAGCCCCCTGTCTGTGTCCCCTCTGCCTGGCTTCCCACTGACTGCCATTTCGTCTTCATCTGTATTGGGGTTCCAGCAGCTTTTGAAATGTCATATATCAGCGGGAGGGGAACAGGCCGTGGGAGACCCGAGGCTGGCTCTTCCTCCCCCATTTCCCCTCCTCCCAGGCTTCCTTTCTTCTCTAGCTTTCTGCTTGTTTACTTTCCCCAGCTCCAAGCCTCTCTTTAAGGCACCTCTCAAATTGTCTGGTTTCTTGAGAGTTCCATTCTATTCAATCTCTCTGTTCTTTCCTCACCCCGCATTCTTTCCCACTTCCACCCCCCAGTGTCTTTTTTTCTAATGGACCTGTCAAATGTCAGCACCCAGCAGGAGGGATGGATCACTGAGCTGGACCCCCTACTGGTCTTGTTCCTGTTCTCTCTTTACTTATCACTAGCTCTGAAAAAGAGAAGAGGGAGGAAACTAATGGAAGTTGGGGAGAAGGGGTTTGCCGAGGTGAGGAAGGAATTTTCATAATAGGGCTTTGAGCAAGTTGTCTGGGAACTTGGAGAGAGCTTACCATATTCCTGCTGACTCTTTTCTACCCACTGATATTTGGAGCATAGAAACATGGGGTAAAGGGCCTGGTGACAGAGGGAATGGCGATGTCTGAGGGTGAACTGAAAGGAGGTAAAGTGGTATGCTCATTAATATCAAAGGAGGGGTGTGCGGGAGAGGTGATGGATAAGGCTCCAGATGGAAGACAGAGAAGGAAGTTTAACGAAAGAGGAGAAAAAAGCCGGGCGTGGTGGCTCACACCTGTAATCCTAATACTTTGGGAGGCCGAGGTGGGTGAATCACCTGAGGTCAGGAGTTCAAGACCAGCCTGGCCATCATAGTGAAACTCCATTTTTATTAAAAAAAAAAAAAAATTTTTTTTAAAAAGATGAGAAAAAAGACACTTGACAGGAAGAGATGACAGGAAGGAAAAGAAAATGGTAATTAATGATGAAAGTGAGTAATTGAGAAAGAAACTAATTTGTTCAAGAAGGATAAGAGTAGGAGTTGCAGACAGGGGAGGGGCCCCAGGAGAGCTTGCCCTCATCTCCTCTCTTCTCTTCTAGTGTGATCCAGGCCAAGCCACCAAGTACCTATATGAGCTGCTCTACAACGACCCCATCAAGATCATCCTCATGCCCGGCTGCAGCTCTGTCTCTACGCTGGTGGCTGAGGCTGCTCGGATGTGGAACCTCATTGTGGTAAGCAGGGCTGGGGGGTCAGAAGATGGGGTCATTCTCTTTTGAGCTCTACTAAAGGGACGGTGGCAATTGCGGATTTGCATTGAAAAGGATTGTGGAGGACCTGCTTCTAAGATTCAGAGTCCTCTGCAGACCTGAGCTAGGCAGCCTCCTAGCAACAGTGGCCTGACAGTGCTGCAGCTGACCTCCTTCTTCAGAAAGAATTGAAATTAGATCAGTGAAAGAGCATCCTGATTGTGAGGGGTGCGTGGGCCTTTGAGAATCACTTTTCCTTAGGCAGACCAGAGGTGGGGAGGATTGGAGAGAGTAAGGTAGAGAAATCCAAAGGCAGGAAGAGGGTTAAAGGAACTCTTAGCCACTGTTGGTGTCCTCAGTGAACAGACCCTCTCTCCCTGCCCCGCAGCTTTCCTATGGCTCCAGCTCACCAGCCCTGTCAAACCGGCAGCGTTTCCCCACTTTCTTCCGAACGCATCCATCAGCCACACTCCACAACCCCACCCGCGTGAAACTCTTTGAAAAGTGGGGCTGGAAGAAGATTGCTACCATCCAGCAGACCACTGAGGTCTTCACTTCGGTGAGGAGGAGTTGGGCAAGGGGTAAAGGGACATAAGCTCAAATTCCAGCAGAGAGAGTTGTGACGTGAGATTCACTTTTAGGGGCAAGAGCTTGATTCTTCGTTAAAAGAATGCATTTCACGTGGGTTAAGTACATGTTCTTTGTGTAGCCAGGGGAAGGAATGAGTTGAGTTTTTGGGATCCTCTGTCTTTTTGATTTTATGATATTTTCTCCCCTGTTTGATGCTCTGTTCCCCAGACAGACAGACCCAGAATGACTCAGTTCTGTTAAAGTAGGTTCAATCCAAAGTAGAGGCAAGAGAAGGGAGGGAACATGAGATAGGAATCCAGGAAGGCAGCAGATTCCAGAGGCTCTCAAGGGGGGTAGTGGGTGGGTGTGAATGGGAACAGAGTGGATGGAGCCAGGGGATTACAGGGGAGCGAGGGAGAGGAGGGAGAGAAAGAGAAAGAGAGAGGGGAATGGGGGAGAGGAGAGAGAGGGGCAGACAGAAAGCTGCATGAGTCTGATAGTTGGCACTAAGAGAGAGAAGCCGACAGACAAGGAGATATTGAGCGGGGAGAGGGAGGTTTGGGGAGGTAGAAAGGAAATACAGGCTCTACATCTGAAGAAGGCAGTCTGCTCCCTCCCTTTTATTCTATTCTTTGGGTCCTCTATCCACTGTGTTCAGTGGCCCTTTAATCCTCCCCCACTTTTGCTCTGATTCAGACCATTCTTCTCTGATCCTTTGCCTGTCTGCCCACTTGCCTCTTGAGGTTGACATCATACTGTCTGTCCCAGTCCTTGCCTTGTCTTTTCCTGGTTCCTCTATGTTTCTTCCTCCCATCTTTGCTGTCAGTGGTAGCAGTGGCTGAATGGAGTGGCTTCCTGGACACATAGCCTTAGCAGGGGCTTACCATGCACCTTCCCACTTGGAAGCCACATCCTAAGACCAGACACCTTCCCAAACTTCTCACCTCAGGGACAGAAGCTGTTGAAGGAAAGTTCAGAATGGCTGCTCCTTTGCTGTGTCTGCTTATTGCTCTGAAATCCCCAGTTAACCTCTCTGGTCTTTATCCCTTCATGCACTCCGTGTTTTTCCAATCGTTTTTCATTCCTGCCTAAGACTCTGGACGACCTGGAGGAACGAGTGAAGGAGGCTGGAATCGAGATTACTTTCCGCCAGAGTTTTTTCTCAGATCCAGCTGTGCCTGTCAAAAATCTGAAGGTCAGATGGCTGGGAGTGGTGGGATCTGTTTGCAGAGGGACCAAGCTGGGGGACAGTGGCTGGTTGGAGAGGAAAGCCAGGCGGAGCAGGTTTTGATTCCTTGAGGCAATAACATCTCTTGGGGAAGTTTAGTTAGAGACGTCTATCTTCCAGTTGACGTTTATCCACTACGTGCTGAGCATTACCCTGCACTGAGCACTTAGGGATGGGAAATCAAAACTGTGAAGGCGCCTGGCTTAGCCCCTCAGGCATTCCCCGGCGTCCCTGAGGAGCTGTTTCTCTCTCTGTTCTGTAGCGCCAGGATGCACGAATCATCGTGGGACTCTTCTATGAGACTGAAGCTCGGAAAGTTTTTTGTGAGGTAGAGTTGGACCTGAAGAGGGAGGGGCACTGGGTGGGAGCTCCCCTCGGTTTTCTCCTGGGGCCTCCTCTCGGCATCTGTGCCTGAGTTGATGGCATATGATCTGAGGTGACGATTCATAGGATGTCTCTGTCTGTTGGCTCTGACTGCATTCGTTGTCTGCACACACATGGTAACTTCTTCAGATCTCCTTTTTCTACTGCTTTGTGTTTCCTGAGAAGCCTGTGAATTCCATCTGTCCTGACTGGCTGGAAAAGGCCACTCAGATATACAGGGTCTGGGGGAGAAACTTGGAAGAATTGTCAGCCTTTCCTACCATCCCCCAGAATTATGGATTTCTCTTTTTAGTTCTACTGCTCTTTCCTGATTCCCAAGAGGCTAAATAGTGTCAAGTGAGAAAAGACAAAACAAACAAATGAACAAACAAATGCCCAGCCATCCTCCTCTGTATTCAGGTATACAAGGAGCGTCTCTTTGGGAAGAAGTATGTCTGGTTCCTCATTGGGTGGTATGCTGACAATTGGTTCAAGATCTACGACCCTTCTATCAACTGCACAGTGGATGAGATGACTGAGGCGGTGGAAGGCCACATCACCACTGAGATTGTTATGCTGAATCCTGCCAACACTCGCAGCATTTCTAACATGGTGAGAGTGTGGGGACTTGCAGGCTGGCACCTGGGAGGGTGGAGGGGACTGAGGGAGCCTTGCAGGAGAGAGGGGGCCAGGGAGAGCTGTGGAATTTGGATATAAAGGGGAAGGGGGTGCTGTGCCCACCCTGAACCTGTCTGCATGATGTTTCCTATGGATCCTACCTTTGCTCTGACTTCCTTGGGCAGGAGAGAAAGAAAAAAAACGATAGAGCTGTATATTCAGTAGGTTCCTGATTAGTGGAAGGGCTGTTACCACGGAGACGAGGAGCAGTTGGTGAGAAGTCAGAGGAGGAACAGGCATTAATGATAATATGGACGCTTGTATACGCAAGCACACCTTTACAGGAACACTGTGTCTGGGCAGAATTGCATTTTATTTTCTTGGTGACTTACGTTAGTACTTCAGAGTTGCTTGATATTCACTCATGATTGATATGCAATTAGCTTGGATTCTGATGCTTTTTTTAATGATTCTTTTTTTAGAATTTTATGTGGAGAAGGGGCTTTTGAAATCATTTAGCCCCAGACAGCTGGTTAATGACAGACTTGGAGTGAGGAGGCGCATTCTCTGATTTGGGAGGGCTGGGGCAGCCCTGCAGCTGAGGGGCACAAGTGAGTGTGGGTGTGGGCGTAGGGGAGGAGGCTTCTTTGTTGCTCAGCATGACATCATAATGAGTAAAGGAATTTGGGGTAAGCTTGATATGGCCACTTACGTGTCTGCTTATAATACCAAGTGTTGCTTATAATACTAAATGTGTACCTGCTTTGGAGAGTGTGCTAGGGTTGAGTTAATGGTTGTAAAGCCTTCAAACAGCTTGTTTAAAAATGTTTTAGTAACAATGGCTTTTATATGGAGCTTAGATTCATGATTTCAGGGATCCTAACAGCAATACTCTGATGTGGACTTACCATTTACATTTTGTAGACCAGGAAATTGAGACTCAGAGTGGTTTAATGACTTGTCCCAGGTCACGCAGCTACTCAGCAGTCCAGCTGGAATTGAATCCTAGTTAAATCTGACTCCAAACTGCTCTGCCTCATCACTTCCCATGGAAAAGCATAAAGCCTGACTCAAAAGTTTGTACTTCTATCTGCTAACACTGCTTAGCCACTGGCAGTTGCTGAGCAAAGGAGAAATAAGATTTATGTAGTTGACTCTGGTGATGTGTTTTGATGAAAGATCTGTTGCCGCATGGACTCTGATCATACATACTGCTCTGGGACATTCTAAGTGGACTTTATGTTTAAGGTATGTTTGCTGAAAAATACAATGAAAAAATTTTGGAAGGTTGCTTCCCTGTAGAGTACCTGAGAGGTGAGTCATATGTAAAACCTGGGAAAGTAGTGGAGCTGGCTACCAAAGCCAGAAAAGAAAGGCTTGGTGCTCTGAGCTCAGGACCTGCCAGTCGTTGCGTCTGTCCTATAGCCGGGAGCTAGAGGAGGCTGACAGAAAACAGAGATTTTGCTGGGCCTAGTAAAATCCCTCACACCTGTAATCCCAGCACTTGAGGAGGCCAAAGCAGAAGGATCACTGGAGCCCACGAGTTCAAGACCAGCTTGAGCAACATAGTGAGATCCCTAGCTCTAAACAGAGAGAACAGAGTTGGTTAGGGACACAGGAACACCTGAGCATTGGGGCAGGAAGACTTGGAAGGTCCCTTTCTGACTGTTAAGTCTCTAGAGAAAGATAGTGTCTGCTTTTGAGGCCCTAGGGCTTCTTGTAGCATCAGCCTAAAATGTCAGTGGGGAAGCCAATATTTCCCAAAGAGGATAGAAGCAATCTTAACAACAGATTAGGGGAGGGAGAGATTACAGATGAATCAGCAGCACCAATAGAAGTGGATTAAAGCAAGGCTTGGACCTAGGGGGCCAGAGCCATGGAGACTTAGAAAAGAAGCAGAATTGCCTTTATTCCCTAAGGAGGGCCTTACGTTTAGATCAGTAGTTCTTAAAGTTTAATGTCCGTCAGAACCACCTGGAAATTTTGATTCAGTAGATCTGGGCTAGGGCCTGAGAACTGACATTTCTAGCAAGTTCCTGAGGACGTGGATGCTGTTGGTCTGGGGAATCACACCTCGAGAACTGTTAGTTAGGTTAGTGGTTTTTTGAGATGGAGTCTTGCTCTGTCACCAGGCTGGAGTTTAGTGGTGCGATCTCAGCTCACTACAAACTCCGCCTCCCAGGTTCAAGTGATTCTCCTGCCTCAGCTTCCCGAGTAGCTGGGACCACAGGCGAGTGCCACCATGCCCAGCTAATTTTTGTATTTTTAGTAGAGATGGGTTTTCACCATGTTGGCCAGGATGCTCTTGATCTCTTGACCTCGTGATCTACTGGCCTCGGCCTCCCGAAGTGCTGAGATTACAGGCGTGAGCCATGGCAACTGGGCAGATTAGTGGTTTTCAACCAGAGGCTATACTATCTGGAGGCACTTTTGGTTGTTACAGTTGGGGGTAGGGGATGGGGAGGGATACATGCTCCTGATATCTAATGTGTAGAAGCCAAAGATGATTCTAAATATCCTACAGCCTCTGACAACAAAGAATTATCTTGCTCAAAACGTCAATAGATCAGAGACTGAGAACCCCTGGTTTAGAGAAAACATCTTTAGGGACCCTATGTAGAAATGGAGAGTGGCCTAGAGCGATTTTAGAGAAATGTAGCTGTGGGCTAGAGTGGAATGTGGGAGGTGGCAGCCTGGATATAAGATTGTGAGTAAATCCTGATTGGGTTAGAGATCCCGTCAGATCTAGGACCAATACAAACTAAAAGCTGCCTCATTATATACATTTTAGCTCACTATTAAGCATCCATTCTTGAGAGCCAGACAAGGCTGTTAAAATAATTAGGTATAAATTGCACTTGGTTGATTAACTAATTGTTATGGGTTGAGGGGTCTTTATTGTTCAGATTTCCTTGAGCTACATAGTAAAGTTTCTTTTTGACAATCTATAACTGTATCTTTACTGACTCAAGAGGGAAGCATTGTTTTTGCCTAATTCTACTCATGGGGTGGTGGGAGCAGTGGTGCCCCCAGTGGTTAGGTGTGTTAGTGGTAGTGATCTGGCTTGAGCAGAGAGTATGATGATCTGGGCAGGGGACAACATCACACTGAGCAGATTAATCCCTTTCCATCTGGGTGATTTTGTGATGCCGTATTTACTTTGAACTGAAGATTGGATAGACCAGTCTTTCAATTTGAAGCCAAAGGACTACTCGGAAAATATTAGCCTAGCTGCTGTTTGTGCAGGTGCTCTTGGAGAGAGGCAGTTTCATGTACAGAGACTGTGTAGGGTGGCTGGTAAGAGTGTGGGTTAGCTCTGCTACTCACTAGCAGTATAATTTTTTTAGGTGAGTTATATAACTTTTCTGTGCCTCAGTTTTCTTATGTCTAAAATGGGGATTGTTTGAGGATTAAATAAGGTGATACAGGTTCCTGAGGAAAATGCTTGATACATACTAAGGACTGCGTAAATGTTAGCCATCACCATCATCATCATCATCAACATCATCATTCTGTGTAAGGAAGGATCGATATCAATGAAACTTTTCAACAAAAGAGTTAAGAGGACTCAGTGATTTGAGAGTTTAATGTGATTCCAAGGCTTCAATCTCATTTACTGGGAACTGTTTGGGAGTAAGGAAAAATTGAGCTTCGTCTTGGATATTTTGATTTTGAGATTATTCATCATTAATTTATAAATGCCTCAGAGTCAGTTAGAAATATGGACTTGAAATATTGGGCTGAAATTATAAATCTCAGTATCAATAACAAAGATGAGATTGAGAGTCAAGGAAATTCACATAGAGAAAATGTAACTTTATACCCAGCATTTTTATACATGTTCTTACTTCATTTTTTTTTTTTCTTTTTTGAGGCAGAGTCTCATTCTGTCACCAGGCGCCAGGCTGGAGTGCAGTGACACAATCTCGGCTCACTGCAAACTCTGCCTCCCGGTTCAGGCAATTCTCCTGCCTCAGCCTCCTGAGTAACTGGGACTACAGGTGCATGCCACCATGCCCAGCTAATTTTTGTGTTTTTAGTAGAGACAGGGTTTCACCATGTTGCTCAGGATGGTCTCGATCTCTTGACCTCATGATCCTCCCGCCTCGGCCTCCCAAAGTGCTGGGATTACAGGCTTGAGCCACCGCGCCCGGCCTTTTTTTTTTTATATATGCAGTCTCGCCCTGTTGCTCAGGCTGGAGTGCAGTGGCACGACCTTGGGTCACTGCAACCTCTGCCTCCTGGGTTCAAGTGATTCTCCTGCCTCAGCCTCCCAAGTAGCTGGGACTACAGGTGTGCACCACCATGCCCGGCTAATTTTTGTAATTTTAGTAGAGATGGGGTTTCACCATATTGGCCAGGCTGGTCTCAAACTCCTGACCTAGTGATCTGCCCGCCATGACTTCCCAAAGTGCTAAGATTATAGGCTTGAGCCACCGTGCCCGGCCCTATTTCATTCTTATGCTAACTCTTTTAGATAGTATTATTCTCATTTTAAAGCTGAATAACCAACTAGTGAGGTTTAATAACTTGAGATTTTATAGCAAGTAGAATAATTAAAATATAAATTCATCCATTTATCTACCTAACAGACTTCTTTTTTCCCCAAGACAAAGTACCCCTCTGTTGCCCAGGCAGGAGTGCAGTGGTGCAATCACTGCAGCCTTGACCTTCTGGGCCATCCACCCATCTCAGCCCCTCCCGAGTAGGCTGGAATCACAGGCATATGCCACCAAGTCTGGCTAATTTTTTTTTTTTCTCTTTAGATGGAGTCTTGCTCTGTTGCCCAGGCTGGAGTGCAATGACGCTATCTCTGCTCACTGCAACCTCTGCCTCCTGGGTTCAAGTGATTCTCCTGCCTCAGTCTCCCCAGTAGCTGGGATTACAGGTGTATATCACCACACCTGGCTAATTTTTTGTGTTTTTAGTAGAGACAGGGTTTCACCATTTGGCCAGGCTGATCTCGAACTCCCGGCCTCGTGATTTGCACACCTCAGCTTCCCAAAGTACTGGAATTACAGGCGTGAGCCACCATGCCTGGCCAAGTCTGGCTAATTTTTAAAAAAACTTTTGTAGAGTTGGGTCCTCTCTGTATTGCCGAGTCTAGTCTCAAACTCCGGGGCTCAAGCAATCCTCCTGCCTTGGCCTCTGAAAGTGTTCGGATTATAGGGATGACCCACGTGCACCTACTGATTTTTTTTTTTTTTTAATTTGAGAGGGAGTCTTGCTCTTGTCACCAGGCTGTAGTGCAGTGGCGTGATCTTGGCTCACTGCAACCTCTGCCTCCCAGGTTCAAATGATTCTCCTGTCTCAGCCTCCTGAGTAGCTGGGACTATAGGCGCATGCCACCATGCCTGGCTAATTTTTATATTTTTAGTAGAGACAGAGTTTCACCATGTTGGCCAGGATGGTCTTGATCTCTTTACCTCATAATCTGCCTGCCTCAGCCTCCCTAAGTTCTGGGATTACAGGAATGAGCCACTGCACACAGCACTTTTTTTTTTTTTTTAAGACAGAGTCTCACTCTATTGCCCAGTCTGGAGTGCAGTGGTATGATCTCGGCTCACTGCAACATCCATCACCTGAGATCAATCGATTCTCTTGCCTCGGCCTCCCGAGTAACTGGGATTATGGGAGCCCACCACCACACCCAGCTAATTTTTGTATTTTTAGTAGAGATAGGGTTTTACCAGGTTGGCCAGGCTGGTGTGGAACCCCTGGCCTCAGGTGATCCGCCCACTGCTGCCTCCCAAAGCGTTGGGATTACAAACGTGAGCCACTGTGCCGTGTCTGGCCTGACTTGCTTTTGTAAAGCCTTTTTTTTTTTTTTTTGAGACGGATCTTGCTCTGTTGCCCATGCTGGAGTGCAGTGGTGCCATCTCAGCTTACCGTAACCTTCGCCTCCTGGGTTGAAGCAATTCTCTTGCCTCAGCCCTCAGCCTCCCGAGTAGTTGGGACTGCAAACGTGCACCACTATGCCTGGCTAATATTTTGTATTTTAATAGAGATGGGATTTCACCATCTTGCCCAGCTGGTCTGGTCTCGAACTCCTGAGCTCAGGCAGTCTGCCCACCTCAGCCTCCCAAAGTGCTAGAATTACAGACATGAGTCACTATGCATGGCCTTTTTTTTCTTTTTCTTTTTTTTTTTTGAGTAGTTTTAATTTCACAGAAGAATTGAGATGAAGGTACAGATACTTCCCATATACTCCCCGCATGCATAGCCTTCCACATTATCAACATCCTCCCCCAGAGTGGTGCATTCGTTAACTGATGAACTTACATTGATACATCATAATCACTCAAAGTCCATAGTTTACATTAGAGTTTACCCTTGGTGTTATATATTCTATGGGTTTGGACAAATGTATAATGACACATATCTATTGTTAAATACTTTACAGAGTATTTTCACTGGCCTAATCCAGTGGACATTTATTGTTCCTCCATTATGGTTGAGCACAGTGCTAGATGCTGATGATTAAGAGAGGGCATGGGGTTTGGTCTTGTCCTCAAGGGTAGAGCCCATGTCCATTGCATCTTCAAAGCCCAGGCTGCTTCAAAGCCCAGTGTAGTAGCCACCGCACTACACTGCCTGTGCTCTTTGCGTATCTCACTTCTCCACCTCTCTAGAAAGCTGGAGAGAAAAGTGGGTAAGGCTTGAGAAACAAAGTTACTTATTTATTCTTCATTCTTCTATTTATTCTTTTTTTTATTGCATTTTAGGTTTTGGGGTACATGGGAAGAACATGCAAGATTTATTCTTTTATTAGAATGTGTGTTAATACATTCCAAACCCAAACAATTGTTTGTATGTCTCCTGTGTATTACTTGTGCTTTCCCAAGAAGTAGCTGCTAAGCTTTTTCGTGTATGGTTTCTGGGAGGTAAGGAAGGAATGGTTTGATTTTCTTCAGTATGTAGAATGCAATTCCAAGAGGTTAAATAATTTACTTACAGTTATTTAGCCAAACAAGATTACTGCAAGGTATACAAAGTCAGGTCTCCTGAACCAGTTCATGAGAGAGTTAAAGGAACTATCATTCTTTTTAGCTTCCTTGGAAAAAGAAGGTTGGGTGTTGGGAGGGGTGTGGGTAGGATTGAGTAATGGACTTAAAAAATGTGAAGGATATTTCTGTAGTTTTCAGTCTTCTGAAAACCCTCTAAGAGGCAGTGAACTGAAAGCACACAAGAATGGCAAGAAGTTAACACACTGAAGAGAAATCCTCCTGGTTGGCAGGCAGAGTGAGAAGACTGTACTGTCATCTTTTCTAGGATCTTTCAGAATTGTAGGAGCTGTGAGATCCTAGGTTAACTCTGTTAAGACAGTCAGAAGGATCAGTGAACATCAGTGTCACAGCTCTTCATTGGAATATCCACATCTCCTCCTTTACGCTAGCTCTACCTTCCATCCTTTGCCACTCATTATCCAAAGTGTTTATTTGTCAGACTTGTCTGTTTGTAGTTCTGAGCTAGCAGTTACACACACTGAGACCATAGGACACAGCTAATCCCCTGCTCTAGCCAGTAGCTTCTGATCTAAGACAGACACATGGATATAGTTAAAGATTTTGAATGTACATATGCTCGATCTGACAACAGGAACACAAACCATCCATTCAAGTAGAAGTGTTTGAGCCAGAATTGGATTGCACCCCTTCCCTGCACCCACGCACATTTCAGTTCTTTCCTCATGATTTTTTCCTCCCAAGACATCCCAGGAATTTGTGGAAAAACTAACCAAGCGACTGAAAAGACACCCTGAGGAGACAGGAGGCTTCCAGGAGGCACCGCTGGCCTATGATGCCATCTGGGCCTTGGCATTGGCCCTGAACAAGACATCTGGAGGAGGTGGCCGTTCCGGCGTGCGCCTGGAGGACTTCAACTACAACAACCAGACCATTACCGACCAAATCTACCGGGCGATGAACTCCTCGTCCTTTGAGGGTGTCTCTGTGAGTTAAACAACTTCCTTGATACTCCCCTGTCTTCCCAATCTCGAGAGAGACTCCCAAGAGGCACCTTCTACAAAGATACATTCTTGGTTTTTCTACGTTACTTCTTTTCAATGATCGGTCTCCAGCCAGAGAAGTAGGGATCTTCAAATTAGAAAAACCCATCAAAGACTAGAGGGGAAAAAAATGATGTATTCCAGTTTTTTAAACTCCTTCCCTTGTTTCTTTTTCTTTCTTTTTTTTTTTTTTTGAGACGGAGTTTCACTCATGTTACCCAGGCTGGAGTGCAATGGCGCAATCTTGGCTCACCGCAACCTCTGCCTCCTGGGTTCAGGCAATTCTCCTGCCTCAGCCTCCTGAGTAGCTGGGATTACAGGCATGCGCCACCATGCCCAGCTAATTTTTTGTATTTTTAGTAGAGACGGAGTTTCACCATGTTGACCAGGATGGTCTCGATCTCTTGACCTCGTGATCCACCCGCCTGGGCCTCCCAAAGTGCTGGGATTACAGGCTTGAGCCACCGCACCCGGCCTCCTTCCCTTGTTTCTTTTCAAACTAGTCCAAGTATTCATGAGTCAGATAATGGTAGGATTTTGAAAGACAAAACAGTCTGAAAGATCATTTCCTTATTCATTTTAAAATGAAAAGATTAGTTTCCAGAGAGATTTGCTGACTTGCTTAGGCCACACAACCAGAAGCCTGCTGGTGTTCTGCCTGGGGACTTTTTCCCATTCAAATCTTATGAGTGAAGCTCCTTGTCCAAAGAATAATGTTTCTAAAATCTAGGGTATGGGCATCTGGGGTATGTCCTATATGCAGGCAAGTGCCATAAATAGCATTCATTCAGAGGCTCAGTTACATCAAAAACAGAAGGATTTAAAGAGTCCCTGATGTTCTCTTTCACTCCTGCTTTTGTCCCCTTTGCCTTCCTCCACACGTTCCTTCCGTCAGGGCCATGTGGTGTTTGATGCCAGCGGCTCTCGGATGGCATGGACGCTTATCGAGCAGCTGCAGGGTGAGTACAGGGGCAGGAGGGGACCGGACATGGGGGCCAGGCAGGGGCTGGGCTGGGATGCCACCTGGGGAAGAGTGCCAGAGACATCACAGGATTGCCCTGGCACCTCTCCACTTCTGCCCTTCTCTTTTAACTCTGCTCATCAAGCTTGTAAATAATACTAAAAAGCTTAACTACAAGAAAATTGATGCCTTTGAGTTGCACTGGTTTTCCTTTTGAAAAGAGGTGTGCAGGCCAGGTGCAGTGGCTCACACCTGTAATCCCAGCACTTTGGGAGGCCGATGCAGGCTGATCACAAGGTCAGGAGTTTGAAACCAACCTGGCCAACATAGTGAAACCCTGTTTCTACTAAAAATAGCAAAAAATTTAGCTGGGCATGGTGGCAGGTGCCTGTAGTCCCACCTACCTGGGAGGATGGGGCAGGAGAATCGCTTGAACCTGGGAGGCGGAGGTTGCAGTGAGCCAAGATCATGCCACTGCAGCCTGGGTGTCAGAGTGAGACTCTGTCTCAAAAAAAAAAAAAAAGGAAAAAGAAAAGAGGCATGCAAAATGCAAATTAAAAACAGCTATTCTCTCTCGCAGTGGCTTTCATTTTAATTTCAGGAATTTCCCCTGGTGTGCCTTGGGTTGAGAGGTTGATTACCTGTCAGTTAGAGTCAAGAAAGCTGAATCCAGGAGAATTGCTTTTTTTTTTTTTAAGGGAATCCATCAAGTTTCCTTGCTATATAAACTATCATTTCTAATTTATCTTCAGTGTGTATAACTTGGCTTTTGTAGATTGTATTTTCTTGTAATTTAGCACACTTATATATTTGCAGAACTTCTAGGAGTTAATTTTTCTACTCCACTCCACTCTCAGTCTTTTATAGCATGGCCAAGACAGCTTTTTCTTGGCCTCCTGTGAAAAGTTTCTTTCTTCCTTTCTCCCCACCTCCACATCCTCTCAGCTCCTCTTTGTATCCAGGACAAGAGGAAATGGACTTCAGCCACAATGAAAGGAGTGTGAGTTGGCTTTTGAAGGAAAAGTTATGGTAACAGAAACAGTTCTAGAACAGAAATCTTAGAAGTGACCAAATTTTACTTAATGGCTCTTTAAGAGGCAGATATAACTTATCCAAGGAATTAAAACCCAAGCCAATGGAAGAGAGTGTTCTAAAATTAAAATGAAAGCCACTGGGAAAACAGAGCCTGCCCCTGGGAAAACAGAGCCTGCCCATCATGAGAGGGAGAATAAGCGGAAATATGTGTAAAGCTTTAGAAGCCAAAATCAAAGTGAGAGACATCTCGCCGAGAGAGGTGTGAGGAATGGAATAGGTGGCAGACATGTTGGGGAGCCTCCTCACTGAAGACTTTTAAACATAGATTTTCTTATTTACTTGAGTTGCCTTGGGAACCACCTTATTATATTGCTTTTAAGTCATGTTGCTGATTCAAGCGACCCGTAGGTCCTTCCAAGCATCCTTTAGGGGCTCAGGTGAAAATAAAATCAGATGCGGCCATGGAAAGCTCTAGGGAAGTTGGAAGCTGAAAATTCCTGGGTCAGCTCTTTGGCTCCCTGTGGTCACTCGTTTGATTGTCATCTGCCCAGGTGGCAGCTACAAGAAGATTGGCTACTATGACAGCACCAAGGATGATCTTTCCTGGTCCAAAACAGATAAGTGGATTGGTGAGTGGATCTTGTTTGTATTTTCCTTCAGCCCCTCTGGACAATCAAGGAAAACAGTCATGTGTTTGAGGATGGGATGGTGGAGACCATTAGGCTGGAATGTGGCTGGCAGCTGGGCCAGGAGAAAGGGTTAAGTAAGAGTGAATACAACCCCTAAGGCGTGGGTAGGGGAGACTGGTGTATTTGGAAAGGGAATAGGCGGTGGTTAGTGCTATTTTTAGTAGCACATTGCTGGGGTAACTGGGGATTAGAGGCAGGGGGTGGACAGAGGGCGGGAAATGGAAACTCCATTTGGGTTTCCCAGATGTCCTGGTGTCTTGATATATTTGAACCAGCTACTTCAAGCCCAGAGCTGTCTCTTTGTCTGTCTCTGTCAAGAAGACATTTGCTTAAACCTTGGAGGAGGAGGGAAAACCTCATGCATTTGTCATCTGCTAAAATGTGCTTTTTATCTTTATATGTATTTTTATGTAATTTGGAGGTACACGTGCAGTTGTGTTACATGAATATATTGTACGGTGGTGAAGCCATGCTTTTAGTATGCCTGTCACCGGAATAGTGTACAATGTACCTAATAGGTAGTATTTCATCCCTCAAAATAATACTTTTTAAAGAGGGAAAGTAAGCAGTTATTCTTTGTGTACCTGGTGGCCTACATGATAGGACATAGGAGAGAAACTGAAGGTCGACAAAAGGAAGGACCTACTGATAAAAGAAAGGCTCCTTGACAATGAAGGGGAGGCCCAGCCATTGAAGACAGCAGCCATCTGCCCTGCCCAGCGGAAATCTAGTTATTCCCAGCACTGCTGGAGTTTTGCACTTTTTTTTTTTTTTTTTTTATAATTTGAATTTAGGACAGTGCTCTGGATTGCTATAAATGCTGCATGGCCTAAATTATTCTTAAAAAAAAAAAACTCTAAGCAAATTGAAATTAATTTTTTTGGTGAACTCTGACAAATTTGAACTTCCCGTTAATAATAACTGGAAAGCACCTTTGGGTATATCACCTTGTCAGGATTAAAATCTCAGATTAGTTTTTTTTTTTTCTTTAGATTAGGTGTCCACACTAGATACTTCAAGGCCCCTTTAGCTTTATGATTCCATAATTGTTATTTGAAACTTTGATTTGGGTTCTAAGAGACCTGACAACATTTATCAGTTATCCCCTTCTTTTTCTTCCCATTTTCCTTTGCTATAAGAATGACAGAAAAACTTAATAAACAAAAACAAAGACTACAACTTTGGTGACATGCCTCAGCATTTCCCAAGCTTTGGAGAGACCATTAACTCACATCTTCTTATCTCATTTCTGTTTGCTTCCTGAGGGTCCCAGTGGCACTGAGCATTCTGCCTGCAGTCACCTCTGTTCAGTGCAGTTAGGGTCTCATAGCCCCAGCCAAAGACTGAATGTCCATCAGAAATCTAGTTCTTTGCCCTTTTCTCCTATCCCGGTCTTCATTCCTTTGTCCTCCTTCCTTTCTTTATTCCCTTCCCCTCTTTCTCCCCTGTGCCATGCAGGAGGGTCCCCCCCAGCTGACCAGACCCTGGTCATCAAGACATTCCGCTTCCTGTCACAGAAACTCTTTATCTCCGTCTCCGTTCTCTCCAGCCTGGGCATTGTCCTAGCTGTTGTCTGTCTGTCCTTTAACATCTACAACTCACATGTCCGGTAAGTTTCTCTTCTGACATTTTCCTTGTCTGCCTCTCTGAGATACTGATCATGTTCCTGGACAGGATGAGAATGAAACCTGTATAAGTCCCATGGCCACGTATCATGAGTTTTGCATTCTGACTTATTGAGAATTAAAATGGGGAAACCAGATATAACCCCCACACCTACTCCAAAGTAGCTAACTGGAAGAAAAAAAGAAAAGAAGAGAAAAAAACAACTTTGGGGCCAGGTCTCACGGTCTTGGATTCTACATAAATAGACTGTATTCTAGTGGGGGCCCTGCGCTCCCGAAGGCATCCGTAACCCCACCTTCAGCCCCATGACTGCATTGCTTTGCCTCTCAAGGCTCCACTGTCTTCTCTAATCCTGTCTTCCTTCAGCCCCTGGCCCTGAAATTGGGGTCATGCCATTGCATGGCATTTGGAGAGCTAAGCCTCCCTGGAGAAGAAGGGTAATTCTCTCTCTTTCACTCTCTCCACCTCTGCCCTAGTTATATCCAGAACTCACAGCCCAACCTGAACAACCTGACTGCTGTGGGCTGCTCACTGGCATTGGCTGCTGTCTTCCCTCTTGGGCTGGATGGTTACCACATTGGGAGGAACCAGTTCCCTTTCGTCTGCCAGGTGAGGAGGTGGTGGGCAAATTCCTCACAGAATATGGCTCTCCCACCCATCTCAGGAGTGCCTCCAGTGATTTATGCTTCTCTACCTTTCCTCCTCAGCTTTCCGTGACTCTTGACCCTGTTCTTTGCTTGTAGCATCACTCCTCCGGTCTCTGTTTGGCTCTGTTCCTTCTTTCTGTGCCTCCAGGCCATTTTCATTCTGTAGTTTACTTGTCAGTTCCAAGGTTGCCATGGTAGGCCTTGCAGAGAAGAGGAAGGAGACATTGAAGACAAAGGAAGGGGGTCTGTCCAAAGGTCTCCTGAACAACGATGGCTTGTGTACGGCATGCCGGCTGAGAATCAGACTTGCGGACTTCCTAGGGAGCCTCTGTTGGGTTTGGAAGGATGGAGGCATACATTGAAACAGGCAGCAGAGAGAGTTGGGGGGAAGGGACCACTGCAACACAGGAGGAGAGTCTCTGGGACTCTACATGGAAGGTTGTAGCGCTGTGGGGAGAGGCCAGCTTCAACAGTGATAATTGAGTGGTTTTCTGTTCCACTGGTGGAACCACCCACTCTTCCTCCTGATCTGCCTGTCCTTACCCTCTCTCTTTCCTCTGCTCTGTGCTGTCCTGATCATATATCTATGCACATGGCATTTGCACATGCAGTTCATCAGGAATCCTCTGTTCCTAGTGAGGCCAGAGTGCAGCTGGAGAGGCAGACAATTAGCTGCAGTGCAGTAGGAGAGGTTCCAGAGTAGGGATCTGCACAAAGTACTTTGAGGGCAAAGAAGGGAACACAGCTAACGGTTGGTGTGATTGGGTGGACCTCACTGTAGAGGTGGCCTTTGAATACTGAAGGACAAATAGGATTTTGTCAGCTAGAGAAATAGAGGAAGCCTACTCCGGGGGCATAGGAAGCATCATGCGGCTAGAAAATACATGAAAAGAGAGTAGATCAAGAGAAAGTGAGTAGTTCAGCATGGCTGGAGAGTGGGGTAGATGTGCGGCTGGGAGATGAGCCTGGCCAGGTGGGTGGGAGCATGTTGTGAAGGGTCTGTATCACATCCAGAGATGTTCAGGCTGTAACTTATAAATACTCAAGAGTGGTGGGTTTTTGTCCAGTAAAGCCAGGATGTTAGCAAGATCACCCTGGTAGTGTGAAAGTAGAGGGTGGATGAGAGGAATTGTTCAAGGTGGGGAGGCTGCCCTCCCCCTGCTGCTCCCCGTCCTATTCACATTTCCCCATCCTCCCTGTGTCATCATGTGCTCCCTGCCCATGCTCCCTTAGGGTTCTGCCCATCCTTACTTCAGTCCTGGCTACTACCCAACCCTATTCTGCCTGTGCCCATTCTTGTTTTCTAGGCCCGCCTCTGGCTCCTGGGCCTGGGCTTTAGTCTGGGGTATGGCTCCATGTTCACCAAGATTTGGTGGGTCCACACGGTCTTCACAAAGAAGGAAGAAAAGAAGGAATGGAGGAAGGTGAGCTGCTGCCCAATCCTCAGTCCCCAAATCCTTGGCTCCTGGGGCATGAAGCATTTTCCCCCGATGTGCCTGTGCTCCCCACATATTTATCCAGACTCTGGAGCCCTGGAAGCTGTATGCCACCGTGGGCCTGCTGGTGGGCATGGATGTCCTCACTCTCGCCATCTGGCAGATCGTGGACCCTTTGCACCGGACCATTGAGGTACTGCTGGAGAGAAGGTGCTGTGGTCAGGAGAATGAGCAGGGCTTACTGGCCATTAGGGCCCCAGGGCTGTGTGTGGTCTTGACGGATGAAGCTACTTGGTGAGAGTGCCTTCCTCATATTGGAACCTCTTCCTCTCCTTCCGGGAAGGAGCCTTTTGTAGGCCTCCAGATTCAACTGAAGAAAGAAAGGGGTGGGGATCTGGGAAGGTTGTGTAGAATTTTCAGGGATCAGGGAAAGTGGGGAACAAGTACCTCCAAGGGTTCAGGAAAACATTCCCGGGCCTAGGGTGAGATTTGGCGTCAGTATTGAGGATCTCAAAGGAAAACAGTTGGAAGCCAGAGACTGAGAAGCATTGAGGAGAGGAAGGGAGGCTGGCAACCATCTTTCTTGTGACCCTCTTTCTATCCTAGACATTTGCCAAGGAGGAACCAAAGGAAGATATCGACGTCTCTATTCTGCCCCAGCTGGAGCACTGCAGTTCCAGGAAGATGAATACATGGCTTGGTGTGTGGGCTGTGGGCAAAGGAGGGCAGGGACGCACAAAGGCAGCAAGGAGGGCAGGGGCAGAGGGCTCGGAGGGTGAGGGTCTTTGGAAGAGGAGGTAGAGAGCTTGTCAACCCAGTTTGAACACCTCATTCTTTGTTATTGCACTAATCTTTTCTAAGAATAGGGGAAAGTTGCTCTTTTGCTATGAGGAGCTTAGGGCCCAAAGCAGAGACGAAGAGCTTGTGTTCAGCAGAGGGACAAGTTGGGGTAACCTCACCTCCAGACTTGACGTTATCTTTTAGATCCCCCTTGGCCTTATGAACGTTGCTCTGATTCATGGTCACAAATGGCAAATCTACCCTTTGCCTGGAAAGCCACCTTCCCACCTGGAGGGTAAGGGTGAGGCATGTGTGGCCCAGACTGGCCTATTTTTAGATACTCAACAAGCTCTTGCCTGACTGACAGCAGCTCACCATGATTGCCTTACTGTGTGAATCCCAGGAGGAAGTGATGCGGTCTGGGCAAGTTAGGAGAACATAGGGGGTAGGGGACACAGGGTGAGGCTTGCTAGGTCAAAGGGGCTGGATTGGAGAGGGGGGCCCCCTTTCCATTGTGGAATGGGTGAAGGTCAGAGAGAGGACGGGGATAGAGTGAGGAGCATTGTGGCCCTTGTTGCTCAAGTGACTCTCTCTGCCTTCCTAGGCATTTTCTATGGTTACAAGGGGCTGTTGCTGCTGCTGGGAATCTTTCTTGCTTACGAGACTAAGAGTGTGTCCACTGAGAAGATCAACGATCACCGGGCCGTGGGCATGGCTATCTACAATGTGGCAGTGAGCATTGACCCCATGGCATTGACCCTGTGGGCTGACTACTGCAGCCCAAATGTGATAGACTAGGAAGAATCAGTGCTAATCTGGGATCTGTTGCTTAGAAGTCTTTTTTTTTTTGAGACGGAGTTTCGCTCATGTTACCCAGGCTGGAGTGCAATGGCGCGATCTCGGCTCACCGCAACCTCCGCCTCCTGGGTTCAGGCAATTCTCCTGCCGCAGCCTCCTGAGTAGCTGGGATTACAGGCACGCGCCACCATGCCCAGCTAATTTTTT